GCGTCTTGTACTCTGAAAAATACGGTAGGTAAATCCAGGGGTGAAATCCTCCCGGTTTGGCTGAACCAGTAGGGACGAGTGTTGTTGGTAATTCTGCGAACTGGTAGTTTAAAAAAAATCTTCCGAGGATTGCACGGCTCAGCAGCTGGAATAGGCAGGAAAAAAATCCTTTAAAAAGTGGAAAAAAAAGAGCTGATGATAGCACAGCTCACAGCTGATCCGCGTGATCATCGGAAGCTCCCCCCACTTTTTAAAGCATTTTTTCCCTGCCTATTCGCCCGAACCGGCAGCAAAAAAATGCTGTAAAAAGTGAACAAGAGTTGGCCACACCCACCTAGTCACATGACACCCCCACACCAAGCCACGCCCACAGAACCGGTGGCAAAAAAAAAATTACATTTCACCACTGGATGCATCTTTAATTTACATCTAGTCCAGGTGTTGATAGAGAGGTGAACAGCCAAGTTGTATCAAGGTTGGAAGACCAACGATTTCTCTTGAGGCTTAGCCATCCTGTGGCTTTTGGTCTGCATTGGGTCACCTGTAAACTTTATAAATGTATCATCCAGTTCAGTGATGAGTCCTCTGACCCTCCATTCAGGGAGCCTTCTTCAGGTGCCATAATTCACCCAGTTGTAAGGGCACCTAACAACCAACTTTTCAACAGGAGACTCTCATGATTCTGCGTTGAATAAGTTATCAACGTTGAGAAACACTGGTAGGGAGATGAAGTTGGACTGGTGCGATTTGTTTATAATAAAGTTGGTGCTGGCTCCTATTACTAGTAGAAAGTCTATCCAAGTCGCCTTTGAATTCCGTTCACTCTTATCTAATGCCAGTTTAATGCTGACCATTAGTTGATTGGACTCTTGTGCATAGCCATGATCAGTTAATCATCTTAATTGGAACTAAACGTGTGGTCCCAATTCTTCAAGCCTGACAATAATTCGGAAACTCAGGGCATTGGGCTCAATTCTACCACCAGATTTCTGAGAGTCCAAAGTAACAGGAGTTCGTTTACTGTAGCTCTGCATGATTCCTATTCTCTCCTGGTCTTCTCAGTTGCTTTTCACTTGCATGGAAAGACTCTTCTGTCACTCTGCATTGAATGCGAGTGAATTTGACCACCGAAGGCAGTGCAAACATTTCACCAACATTACAATTTTTCTTTTTAAAGGCGGGTCTTCATGTTTTCCTATTCCAGCTGCTCTTTTTTTTCCCCCTGTGGAAAAGGTATGGATTACATACCTTGAAGGGAGGTAATTCTTACTTTCATTTTTTAAAAAAAGAAATAACTTTGTGGTAGCGGTGAGTTATACCTCTTGGTATAATTCCCCCCCCCAAAAAAGGAAAAAAAAAGCTCTCTCACATTGCATACATTTGGACGGGTGCTTGCGAAATTCATTCTTTGGCTGGCTTTCATTGCACCTGGGTGCATAGTATTATAGCCAATTTAGTAGTAGGGTTAACAAACTGGAAACCTGTGATTGAGCTCCGGAAGTCAAATGGGTTGTTAGTAGCAAAAAATAAATCCAAAATCTTGTGCAATTGTGTGTGCATATGTGTGCACCAGTGGTGGGTTTCAAAAAATTTTGGAACCTCTTCTGTAGGTGTGGCCTGCTTTTCGGGTCCACTGGTGGAACCTCTTCTAACCGATTCGGTAGATTTGACGAACCGGTTCTACCGAATAGGTGCGAACTGGTAGGAACCCACCTCTGGTGCTGAGAGACTCTTTATAGGTAGTCCTCAATTTACATGGGACCAGAATTTTCATTGTTAAGCAAAGTCATTATTTAAGTGAGTTGTGCTCTATTTTATGACATTTTTGCCATGATTATTAAGTAAATCACTACAGTCATTAAGTGAATCATGAAGTCATTAAGAAAATCTGGATTTCCCCATTAACTTTACTTGTAGCAAAGTGTATGTTTTCAAACTAAAAGATCCCACATGTACTCCAAATCTCAAGGAATTGTGCATTACTGGTACAGCTCATTCTGAAAGCTGATCTCAAGCAGATGCAGAGAGGCCCTTTGAAAAAAAAAACCAAAAACCTAGATGTCTTTTTTT